AGAAACTCAACAATGACGAGGCCAATCTCACCTCAGGGGATAGAAGATTCCACAGCGCAGGCGCCACAGCAAAAAAGGCCCGCCACCTGGGGCCCACCAAATGTAGTTCCCTAGGTGATGGAACCCATAACATGCCCTCTCTGCTCGATCTGGTAGGATGGGCAGATGAAACTGGGGAGAGGCAGTCCCTCAGTTTTGTCTTTTGCATCCAAAGTCTGGTAAATGTGGGTCTGTCAAGTCAAGGTTTTATTACAATCTTTCAGCCTTCTCCCATAAGGTGGTATATAGTAGCATAAAATGTTTGTTTCCACATCTTTGCATCAACTGTAGGTAATTAAAAATAGGTTATGGTCTATAAAATGGTACCCATGTTGCAAATAACACGATAAAGATATGTATAATTTTTGTGCAATAATAATTAGAAAACAAAGGAACTGTTGCCCTCAATAGGCCTCAAGTGTATTTGATAAGGTAGAAGGACTCTAGCTTCAGTTGCTTTTGCATAATACTGCTTTCAGCCAATAGCTATGACCTATCTCACCTCACCATATATATGGACTTCACTATATATGTGGCATGATTTCTTGGTTTTGAAACTGTATTTCAAAATATAAGGAGCCTGTTGTATTCCTTGGGATGTCTATAAACTCCCAGTATGGCCCCAACAGGTAGTCAAAACCAATGAACTCTTGAAAAAAGCCCCACCCCCACCCCTTGGACTTAAAACTTCAAAAATTAAAACTAGCCATTTGGACTTAGCCCAAATCTAAATGGCAACCATTAAAACTGCTAAAAGATCTATTGGAAACAGAGAGAACTCAGGCAGCCAAATTCTAAGTCAACTGAAGACTGTAGACTGTCTGTAAAGATAACCCAGGGCAGAATGCAGAGTGACAACCTAATTTTCCTGCATATCCTAAGTGCCTTTCTTTGGTTTGTCACCAACTTTACCTGCTTTCAGCAGTGTCAAATCCCTTTTCTCACTAACCCAGAAGCATGGAGTTTTTAGTTATTTTATTCAGTTTCCTCCTGTTATTCTTTCTCTTGTTCCATATGCAGCTCACGGCTCATCTGGTTCTTCTTATTTTGGGATAATGGACTGTAACCGAAGGGGCATCTATCTTTACTTATATGTCATTGCAGATAATAGCATTACAACTTAATTATGTATTTAGAAAGCAGCACTGAGCAAGGGGCTTGGTCCTGGTGGCCAAAATGGCCCCTTGCAACTCTATATAGGGTTATATTTAACTGTTTCCTTCCACTTATAAAAAAGTTGTTTGTTCAGCTGAAAGTTCATGGGTAGTTGGTGGGAAAAGAATTTGCGTTGCAGCCTATTTTGCTCAGAGGTAGGCAAGCTGGCATTGTAAATAATTTGGACTACAATTCCCACCAGCTCTGGCCAGTTAAATGGTTAGAAACATTTGCAGTAGCACAGAAGGTAGCATGAGGATTTGGGGAGAAAGAAGGATCCATTCCATCTCCTTCCAGTCATGGGATTCTGTCTTGGAGCCTCCTGTGAGCAGGCAACACAAGTGAATACACTCCTATATTTTCTCTTTCTTGAACCCAATACAGACCAGAACGTGTAAGCCAAATCTGTTGCTGAAGCATATTAGAGAATATTATCCTCCTCTGTTTATGGAAGACAGTCAGTTATGTTCAGTCGTAGTTCAGTGTTCAAGGTACTAACAAGTAGCTAAGAGTACCGAAGTTGAAAAAAGCCGTCTGTTTGTGAGGAGGGGGTTGTTATTGTTAATCAGAGGTGAAATGTTTGGCATTGGTCTTAAAGAGCTTGGGTAATTATTGACTTTCAGTATAGTAGCTCTGTAGTTTAATGACCTTAAAGCATTACATTGGGCATGCAGGCTTTGAAGTTATTTTTGTGGTTTTCTGAAGCAAAAAGATAAATACCTGGCTTTTTAAAAAGAAACTGCCAAAGCTGCTGGTTTTCTAAAGACATTGGGTTTTTTTTGTTTTTGTTTTATTTGACTTGGTTAACCATCAGGCTTATTAAATTAAGAACACTATGAAGAACGAAAAATAGTCTTGTGTTTTTTATCTGACACGGATGATCCTGATTTTAAAATTGCATAATTAAAATGTACCTCTTGGATTTACATTAATAATAATTATTTATTATATTTATATGCCACCCGACTCCCAGAGACTCTGGGCCACTCTAACCAGTGTTATTCTTCTGCATTTAAAAATCCCCTAAATATTTGTTCTCAAGGGTCTGCACTGGGTGCTATGATATTTACCATGAATTTGGTCATAGAAGACTAATGAGAGTTACTACTTTTTTGGATGCATTTGGATGCAGTGTGACTTTTTTTCATCCTTCTTCGCAACTGTTTTAAGAGTCTCATTAACATTAATGAACTGACTTGTTAAAGCATCCACACCTTTCTTCCAGAAGCCTGAAAGGAGGTTGGGCTGCTTTAATGAACAATAGAAAGGTGCTGTGGGCCAAAGCGCTTCTGAATCATTTTTGAAGAGTGAACAATCTAATAAAGAAGGCTGAGTTACAACTACATCTCAAGGCTCTAATTTCAGCCTGGGAGATATACTGATTGCCTTCCAGGCTGGAAGACACCAGAACCTGTAACTCCCTAGATTAGTTCAAGGTCTTTAAATAGTTTAAAAGAGAATGGAGGGAGAGATGTCTCTTTCATCAACAGAGCCATTGGGAGGGAGCGGCAAGGAGGGCAAACGATGAACACAGCATCACTATGGTGCAATGCAACTCAGCTCCTTTTGTTCGTGTGTTGTTGCATGCATGTCAAAGGGGCATAGTTTGCATCAGAAGGATGTGATGCTGCTTTTGTCATTTTGATGAAGGACTCTAGTCCTGTGGCTGCTTCTGTTCATTAAGAGAATTTTATTCTCAGTTTAATAGGAAATAAAATAATATAATGAACTCATGTCTTTCCAATGTAAATATATCCTTTATTTTCTTCTTCTTTATTTTTCTTCTGCTTTTCACCTTCTTAGTTTTTCTTTCGCTCTGTAGCCAAGTTTCTTGCTTTTCCCCATTGCTGTGAAATAAATTGCTTTCCCCCACTGCTCTTAAATGAATATTAGCACACGTAACTGAGTGCAAGTAGGCGTCAACTTACAACCACAATTGGGACTGGAACTTCCATCACTAAGTGATGCAGTTGTTAAGTGAGTCATGCCCAATTTTACGACCTTTTTCCCACAGTCATTAAGCGAATCATGAAGTTGTTAAGTGAATCCAGCTTTCCCCATTGACTTTGCTTGTTGGAAGCCCCCTGGGAAGGTCGCAAATGGTGATCATGAGGCCCTGGGATGCTGCAACTCTCATAAATACATGCCGGTTGCCAAGCACCCAAATTTTAATCACATGACTGTGGGGATACTGCAACAGTCATAAGTGTGAGGACTGGTCATAAGTAACTTTTTTCAGTGCCATTATAACTTCGGTCATTAAATGAATGGTTGTAAGTCAAGGACTACTTGTAATATAGACTGTTTTAGTAAAGCAATCATTTTCCAAAGCATTTCTAATTAGGATTGTGCCAAAAGGTTCTGTGTTTCTTTTGACAACTGTTATTTAGTCTGACCCCTTCATGGATCACTGCCTTGTCGTGGCGAAGGGGCTTGCGTAACTCAGTGAA